TCCAGTTGTCTCCTACTAGGGTTTTTTATATTATCATTATAATACATTTAAGGTTTCCTGCTTCTAATTTTAATACGCCAGAGATGCCAACAGAATTTCTAACAACAAAATATATTGTTGTAATGAACTGTCTTTAAGATCAAAATGTCAAAATCCATTCTAATAATAAAATTCAAATTGAATACATGCTCAATATAGAAAAACTAGAAAATACAGAGAAACAATAACAAGTAGTCCCTGGCTGGTTTGGCTCAGTTGGTTGGAGTGTCCTCCCATACAACCTTGTACACCAAAAGGTTGTGGGTTTGATCCCCAGTAGGGGCATGTATGGAAAGACAACTGATCAACATTTCTCCTTCTCTCTCTCTCTCTCTCTCTCTCTCTCTCTCTCTCTCTCTCTCTCTGTCTCCCCGCCCCTTCCCTTCTCTCTAAAATCAGCAAGCATGTCCTCAGGTGGGAATTAATAAAACCAATTAAAAAAAACCTTGCCATTAAGAAAACAATAATAGCCCTGACCGGTTTGGTTCGGCGGTTAGAGCGTTGGCCCGTGGACCAGAGAGTCCCTGGTTCAGTTTCCCCTAAGGGCACGTAACTCAGATGCAGTCTGTCCCCGGCCCTGGATGGGGTCGTGTGGGTGGTGACCAGCTGATGTGTCTCTCTCACATCGATGTTTCTCTCTCTCTCCCTCCCACTCTGTCTGAGGAAAAGAAAAAGAAAACAATAACAGCCCTGGCCAGTTTGGCTCAGCGGTTGAGTGTTGGCCTGTGGACCACAGAGTCCCAGGTTCCGTTCCTGCTAGAAGCGCATACCACAAAAAAAAAGAAAACAATAACAAATAATTATTATCCAGGAATAACCACTATTAGAACTCTTAATGTTTACTGTTTTAGATCTTTCTCTATAACAACAGTAATTTGCAAGTACCCAGTCTAATAACTTGAAAATGGCTTGTGTTTTAAGAAATTAAAAAATTTGTGTTTGTTTGTTTGTTTGTTTATCCTCACCTGAGGACATTTTTCGATATTTTGTTCAGATAGAGTGGGAGGGAAAGAGAGAAACATCAACGTGAAAGGGACACACTGAGTGGCTGCCACCCAGACTCAACCAGGCCTGGGGACAAACTGCAACCGAGGTACATGCCCTTAGCGGAACCGAACCTGGGTCTCTTGGGGCTTCAGGTTGCCACTCTAATCGCTGAGCCAAACTGGCCAGGGCAAGAAATTAAATTTTGAGAGCTAGGTTTGATAACAACAACAAAAAAATGGATGTAGTAACTCTCACCTACTTTTCTGGAGATAAAGAAAATCAATTTAGGCCCTGGCCAGTTTGGCTCAGCGGTTAGAGCGTCGGCCTGAGATCCTGAGAGACCCGGGTTCGGTTTCCGCTAAGGGCGCGTACCTCGTCTGCAGTTTGTCCCCGGCCCTGGTCGGTTGTGCGGGTGGCAGCCACTTGATGTGTTCCTTTCACATCAATGTTTCTCTCTCTCTCTGTTCTTCTCTCTCCCTCCCACTCTACCTGAACAAAAGATGGAAAAATGTCCTCGGGTGAGGATAAAAAAAAAAAAAGAAAATCAATTTAGGAAAATAAGTGGATATTAAAAATAAATGAAGCTGTTGCTCTTTGTATTGTGACAATAACAAAGCATATGGCAAATACTGAATGAAGTGTTCATTATAAATTATTTAGAACACATTAGAACTATCTTCTTAATGTTAATGAAGATATCTGCTTAGATAATATGGTATCGAAGCACCTATTAGCAACTTCTAGGGCACAGTCTGCCTATAGTTCCTTACTAATTTCACAATAAACAGTGAAGATACAAACTATGATTAAGAAAATAGTTCAAGCCCAGCCAGTATGGCTCAGTGGATTGAGTGTCATCCCATGGACTGAGAGGTCCCGGTTAAATTCCTGGTCAGGGCATATGCCTGGATTGTGGGCTTCATCCCCAGTAGGGGGCGTGCAGGAGGCAGCTGATAGAGGTTTTTCTCTCACATCGATGTTTCTCTCTCTCTCTCTCCCTTCCTCTCTCTCTAAAAAAATAAAAATCAATAAAAACATAAAAGAAAAAGAAGATAATTCAAAATGAAGGTAATCACTAAAATATTAAAATATAGAAAAAAATGAAAACTGTGGGAAAAATTAGACCCAAATGTTAAAAAAAATGGGCTCACTATGGGTATAATTTCATATACCAATTATCAAATGATAAGCAATACATTATTGATTAGGAATAGCTGTGGTTATAACAATTATAATTTGCAATATTTACAAGTTATTTGTGATTTTACTTTTAAAGGAAAAGCAAAAACTGCTAATACTATACACAGGACAAGTTGATCCTTGAATAGTTCAAAGGACTACAATTATGGGAATCATTATTTGAAAAATAATACATCAATATTGTTTTTACTTAAGCTGATTCATGAGTAGACATTATCTGGTATATACAAAATGAACTAGCCCTGGTCAGTGCGGCTCAGTTGGTTGAGCATTGTAACTTGCACCGAGAGGTCTCCGGTTCCATCCCATCAGGGCACATGCTTGGGTTTTGGGCCCCATCCCCAGTAGGGAGCGTGCATGAGGCAGCTGGCTGATATTTCTCTCTCATCCATGTTTCTATCTCCCTCTTTCTAAAATCAATGAAAACATATTAAAAAAGAATTCCTATTTAAAAAAATGAACTAAACTCAGCTTTAATATTTGACCAATCCACTAAACTTTTTTTTTAATCCTCATCTGAGGATATGTTTTTATTGATTTTTAGAGCAAGAGGAAAGGAGAGAAAGAGAAATACTGATGTAAGAGAGAAATACTGATAGAGCACCCGGCTGCCTCCCCTACGTGCCCCACCTGGGGATCCAACCTACAAAGTGGGTATGGGTCCTGACTAGGAATTGAACCTGTGACTCTTTGGTGCATGGGACAATGCTCCAACCAACTGAGCCACACTGGCCAGGGCTGTTTTTTTTGTTTTGTTTTTTTAAAGCAGCATCTTTGAGATTATATATTCAGTATAATTGGATTCTTATTACTCATTGTATGCTGATAATGAACCTATTATAAATATTATCCAATATATTCTCCTTCAAGAAATATCAAGGATTCATTTTTTTCATTCATAGATGCATAACCATTTGAAAGTTATTTAGGAGTAATATTGCTAATTTTTGGTAGTAGAAAGGAATAATTCTAACAAGGCACAGAGATGGATAATAACATCTGCTTGTGACAAATAATTATATTTGATATGACTGTGATACTTAGTCTCATTATAAAATTATTAGATGTTTGTCAGAAAGATACAATTGTATATAAATTCAAAATTGCATTAATATAATTATAAAAAGTCAAATATGAAAATTCTAAAAGTGAAAGTTGTTAAGGACAAGAAAAATTCAATATAATTCATTAGAAATTTTTGGAATCCATGAATTAATTCATATATCTCCTTCTCATCTGATCTTTTATATACACTATAATAGGTTCACAGAATGTCTTAAGGGACACCACACTAGATGTAAAGGATAGAGAGAGAAAACATACAATTACTTTTCTCATCTTGCTTATTGTCTGGTGGGGGTTACAGGTAAGCCAAAAAGCATTTTCAGTTTAGGATAAGTGCTATGCCAGAATTATGTTCAAAAGGCTCTTAGAGCCCTGGCCGGTTTGGCTCAGCGGTTAGAGCGTCAGCCTGAGGTCCAGAGAGACCCGGGTTCAGTTCTCGCTAAGGGCACGTACCTCAGTTGCAGTTTGTCTCCAGCCCTGGTTGGTCGTGCGGGTGGCAGCCACTCGATGTGTCCCTTTCACATCGATGTTTCTCTCTCTCTCTCTCTCTCTCTCTCTCTCTCTCTCTCTCTCTCTCTCCTTCCTTTCCTCCCTCCCTCCCTCCCTCCCACTCTAACGGAACAAAAAATGGAAAAATGTCCTCGGGTGAGGATTTAAAAAAAAACCAAAAGGCTCTGAGAGAAGGGTTATCTTTCCTTAAGAAAGGAAAGATGAGCCCGGCCAATGTGGCTCAGTTGGTTGAGTATCATCCACAAGGTTACCAGTTTGGTTGCTGGTCGATCCTCAGTAGGGGGCATGCAGGAGGCAGCAGACTGATGTTTCTCTCTCCCTCCCTCTCCCTTCCTCTCTCTGAAATCGATAAAAACATTAAAAAAAAAAAGGAAATAACAGCATTTTTGTGAATCTTGAAGAATGGGTAGGTTAGCTAGGCTAAGAAAGATAAGGGCATTTCATGCATAGGTTATAGCAATCCTCAAAGTGTGGAGGAAATGTAGTCATTCAGTATGGCATCATATTTGTGTTTTGGAAAGTATACTATGACAAGATACAGAACACTCCATGGAACAGTGTCAACCCAGAAGAGGACAACTAATTAAGAAGCTGTTGCAGTAATCTGGTTAAGAGATGGCTACAGGAATGTCACAGGGATGGAGAAGGGAAGTGAGCAGATGTGGCTGAAAATAGTACATGGTTCCTGTGTTGCTGCTTTTGAAATTGAATTGCATTCTAAAAATAAAATATCTGCTGTGAGTCCTAAAATACTGTTGGGAAAGAGAAGAAAATTAGAGTTTAATATGTAAAAATAAGTGGCACTAAAATAGTTTGTGCATTTAAGTTTCTAGTCACTAATAAGTAGAGCTCTCTTGGTTTCTGTATTCACATTGTTGGTTTTGACTGAGTGTTAGGAGGGACATAAAAGAGGATGAGAAAAAACAAAAACAAAAAACTGAGACTGGAAGAAAGAAGAAATGTTATCCTGAGTATAATACCTAGTTACTGTGGTTACTGGGAACTCTTTTTATGAAGTACATGATTACTACGTTAAAACTTCACAAAGCATCATGTTGATATTTTTGCAAAACACAGATTTACAATAACTATTATTTTCTCATTTAGGTTTCATGTAAATTTACAAATGATTGAAAATTATTAAATTGCCTGTCAATTTTAGAAAAAATAAAGCACTATAAACACAACATTTTTCTTACCAGAATGGAGTGCATTCCCATGTAAATTCTACTTAGGCAAACTAGGGAACACCAGCAGGGAACAAGAATCAGTCCATATATAAGAGGATACTAAAGGAGGAAAAAAGCAAAATTAAATAAATTAGGCTAAATATAAACAAGAACATTAAAAACAAATCACTGTACTATAAAGTTTCATGAAAACAAGAACTATGTGTTTTTATTCCCAAGGTATTCTAGCACTAACCCTTAAACATGACACACAGCAGAGACATTCAAGAAATACTTTTGCATGAAATAAACAAGTGAATGAAATCTTAAGTTTCCACACTACATTGTGGGAACTGACTCATTTTTGATTTTACAGAAAAGATTCAGTCACCAGCATGCTACAGAAAAAGAAAAACAGGCAGGAGACATACTTTTTAATAAGGCTACAAAATGAAGTACCTCTGGAATAGCACCTGAATCTGGCCCATGTAAGGGTATTCACTTTCCTGGGGAGGCAGACTGAGCATTATCTCACTCTCATTTCCATTAGTAACAGCTATCTGCAATTTCTACTGACATGTCCTCATTTTGTATTCAATATTCAGCACTCTGTAATTTGTTTTCCACTTCTGCCCCACCACTAAAATTTCAAATGGTAACCTTATTGAGAAAAGTTTTGATGAGATACTGGCCATAAAAAGGAAAAAAGCAAAATGTAGACAAGTCTTGGTATCAAAGGCACTAGTTTATGAGTTGGCTTTGACTCTCCTGGCACTAGAGGGGAGAAAGAAAGGGTAGATAGGCATGATGGTATATTTCTAAAGGGAGGTGGCATATCTGAGGCAGTTTATGCCTAACTTCATGTTTCTCAATATTTGAAGCAAGGTGGTTCAATTCAGTAAGAATCCAAGGTGGGCCCTGGCCAGTTCGACTCAGCAGTTAGAGCGTTGGCCTGTGGACCAAAGGATGTCAGGTTCAATTCCCAGTCAAGGGCAAGAACCTGGGTTGCAGGTTTGATACTGGCCCTGGTGGAAGTCGTGCAGGAGGCAACCAATCAATGTGTTGCTCTCATATCATTGTTTCTCTCTCTCTTTCCTTCCCACTCTGTCTGAAGATAAATGTAAAAATATCCTCGGGTGAGGATTAAAAATAAATAAATAAAAATAAAGAGAAATCAATGGAAAAATATCCTCAAGTGAGGATTAACCAAAAAAAAAAGAAAGAAAGAATCCAAGGTGGTTCAATAAGAAATGATGTTTAAAAAAGGAGTTACGGCCCGGCTGGTGTGGCTCAGTGGTTGAGCATTGACCCATACACCAAGAGGTCACCAGTTTGATTCCAAGTCAAGGCACATGTCCAGGCTGTGGGCCGGATCCCCAGTGGGGAGCACGCAGGAGGCAGCCAATCGATGTTCTCTCTCATTGATGTTTCTATCTCTCGCTCCCTCTCCATTCCTCTCTCTCTAAAAAATCAATAAAGAAAAAAAAAAAGGAGTTTAGTAGGACTGTAAGAAGAAAGGTAAAGATTTAGTACATAGTTATGTTGATTTGATCTTTTCTTTATACCCTTGATTTTTATAGCATCACACTCTCCTGGTTACCGTGTGTGTGTGTGTGTGTGTGTGTGTCCCAACCTGAGGATATTTTCCCATTGATTTTTAGACAGAGTAGGGGATGAGGGGAGAGAGAAACATCAATGTGAAAGAGACACCTCAACTGGTTGCCTCCCACACAACCCTGACCAGGGCCAGGGATCAAACCTGCAACCCAGGTACATGCCCTTAACCAGGAATTGAACCAATGACCCTTCAGTGAGCAGGCCAACACTCTAACCATTGAGCTAAACTGGCCAGGGCTCCTTTTAACCATCTATTTTTGTTGTTGTTGTCGTTTCCTACACAAGAGCACATCTTCTGCCCTGGTTGGTGTGGCGTCATTCTGTGCACTGAAAGGCTGCCAGTTTGATCCCGGTCAGGCACATGCCCATGTTTTGGGCTTGATCCCACATAGCGGGGGCATGCAGGAGGCAGCTGATCAGTGTTTCGCTCTCACATCAATGTTTCTCTCTCTCTCTCTAAAAAATCAATTAAAAACTTATTTTAAAAAAGCAGCACATCTTCTTTTTCCTTAAACATTGGTATAAATAAGAATTTAGCGCTTAGTAGTCTGCAGCCTCACCTTTTCTTATTTTTTAACCTCTACTTAGCATGCTGAAGACCTATCCATTCCCCTGGGTTTAATAACCATATAGCCAGCTATTGCACATACTCCACCTTGAGCTCTCTGGACTGCAGGCCGATGCTCTAACCACTGAGCCAAACCGGCCAGGGCTCCACCTTGAGCTCTCTATGGAGTTAAACCCACAATACTTCAAGCTGAAATCATCATCCTGCCAGCCAAACTTGTTCTTCTTCTCATATTCCCTATTTAATTTAGAAACATAATACACACAGTAATCTAAGTGATAAACATGAATTACCTTTGACAACTTCCTCATCCCTCCTTTGCAACCAATAACCAAGTCTTACTGACTTTACCTTCTAAATATTTCTTGATTCTGTCATCTCTTCTCCATCCTACTTACACGGCTCTTGTTCAGATCCTCATAGTTTCTTTTCCAAGCTCTACCTATTTGTCCAGCCATTTTCCCATATGCATGAACAATGTGGTTAAAGGGGGAAACAGAATGTAACCATATAATGAGGTAAATGCTATGACAGGAGTATACTAAAAGTTCAGAGGGTATCTAACGAATGAACATTTAACTTAGTTTAAAGTTGTTAAAAAAGACTCCTAGATTAAGTAAGATTCAAGTTGTCCTGAAAGATAAGTAGAATTTAGTCTTTATAGAAAAGAAGGAGTACAGGGCAGAAAAGGTGGAGGGCATTACAAACATCAGGAACACATGAGCAAAGGCTTTGTACAAGACATTGTGAGTAGTGTGGTTTTCTAATAAAATAAGTTTACATCTTGCTGGGGGGGCACTACATAGTAAACATAAAAATATGTAATATATAGCCCAGTCGGTGTGGCTCAGTGGTTGAGTAACGACCCATGGACCAAGAGGTCACTGGTTCGATTCCTGGTCAGGGCACATGCCCAGGTTTCAGGCTCGATCCCCAGTGGGGGGTGTGCAGGAGGCTGCCCATCAATGTGTCTCTCTCATTGATGTTTCTTTGTCTCCCTCCTCTTCCTTCTTTTCTCTCTAAAAAATAATAAAAAAAATTTTAAATTTAAATATGCAATATATAAGTAATATAATATATAAAAATATAAATTTTATCCCCACTGGTGTGGCTCAGTGGTTGAGCGTCGACCCATGCACCAAGAGATAGCCAGTTCGATTCCCAGTCAAGGTACATGCCCAGTTTGTGGGCCAAATTCCCAGTCGAGGGCAAGCAGGAAGCGGCCAATCAATGTTCTCTCTCATCAATGTTTCTGTCTCTCTCCTCCTCTTCCTTCCTCTCTCTCTCTAAAAACCAATAAAGAAAAAATATTATTTATATATGTGTGTGTGTATATGTGTGTGTGTATAAATTTTACAAACGTGGTAAGTACTATAGAGAAATAAGAGAACAAAAAGTTGTGGTACATTTACATAATGGAACACTATGCAGCTGCAAGGAAGAAAGATCTCTTACCCTTTGAGACGACATGGAGGGACCTGAAGAGTATTATGCTAAGCAAAATAAGCCAGCCAGAGAAAAACAAGTAGCACATGATGTCCCTTATTTGTGGAATATAATGAACACAATAAGCTGATGAACAAAATAGATCCAGAAACATGGACATAGGAAACAGACTGATAAGCCTCAGAGGGAAGGGGGGGGTGGGGGTGGGGCATAAAGAGATAAACCAAAGAACATATATGCATATATGCATGTATGCATAACAAATGGACACAGACAACAGTGTGGTTAAGGTGGTGGGGGTTGGGAGGAGTGGGTAGGAGGGTGTCAATGAGGGGAAACGGAAGGAGATCTGTAATAAAAAAAATTTAAATACATTAATAAGAATGAAATGAGAACAGGTATTGAAGAAACAGCAAATGTTCATCAAATATTCCTTGTGCTACTTCTACATTTTCAAGTTCATCTGCAGCTAGATTGGGGACCAAGTGCCTAGTCTGGCCATGGAGCTAGAAAATGTGATTTAAGCCACTTTTAATCAGTCTATGAACTCTCTTTCCTGCAGATGTGGTCCTGGAAACCACATGCACCAAAACAGAACCAGGAGACACATCACAAGATGCGCAAACTTCCATTAGCCTGGGTTCTTGAGGTTCTAAGTAGAACAAAGCTGTTTGCTAATCCATAATGAATATGTAGCACAAATCAGAAGAGCTGAGATTTGGACGTAAAGTCATTCACAGACCACAATCAAGCCTACTATAACTAAAACGGTAACAGAAATAGGATCAGAAGTTTGGGAGTATGTATACGGCAAGTTAAAGTAGTAAATAAAAGACAGTCAATGCAGGCTTTATTGAGAAGCTGAAATTTGAAGCAAGACTAGATGGAGGTGAGAGAATTAGCTAAGGAAATATCCAAGGGAAGAACACCTACCAGGCAAGGGGATCAGATAGAACAAAGTCTCTAATAAAGAAATGTGCCCGGAGCAGAGAAAGCAAGTAGGAGAAGAAGTGAGAAAGGTAACGGGCCAGTGAAACAGAGGCCGAGAGGGCACTGTAAAAAATTTGACTGTTTTTATGAATCAAATGAGGAGCTATTGCAGGGTTTTGAGCAGAGCAGTGTCATGATGGCTGCTATGGTGAGATGAGACAATAGGGATCAAAAGTGGAAATAGGGAGAACAGTTAGAAGGCTGTTGGTATAATCTAGGTGAGAGGTAACAGTGGCGACTACCTCTGTATCAGGCACTCAGGCCTGTTAAATTTTTGTTAATTAAAAAACAACAACTGTTAATAGCAAAGGAGAACCAAAGAAGTAAACAATAACAACTAAGAAAATCTACTAAGCTAGCCTCTTCTTTCTCTTTTTTCACTTAAATAAAAATGTACAAAGTTATTAATGGAAAGTATTTGTACACAAAAGATTGAAGAAAAATTTTTATAGTCTCATCGGTTAAGGCTGAAGGTAAGGGAAAAGTAGAGACAATGAAA